GTCTCCAATGGAGACGTTACTGGGCCCGCTCGAGCAAATCGACGATCAACGGGAGGGCCTTTACCTTTTTACCTTATTTTTCCTGGTGGCTGCATAGTATTCCATTGTGTAGATGTACTATATTTCATCTAGTTATCTGTTCTCAGATAATCAGGGATGCAGTCTCGTTTGCCAAAGCATCAAAAATCAGATGAACTGGACACAAAATGCGATCTGAAGTCTACCACTGGACTAGAGTTGTTACTGATTGGTTTCCACACCGTCATAAGAATGCGTGGCCCCCCACCTATGAGATAATTAGACTTCTTCTTCAAGAATGATTTGGAGTTCTTCTTCCTGGAGCAAGCAGATGCCATTGGGCTACACTAGCCCGCAACAGGGATGAATGGTGACGTTACTGGTGCCCATTATAGCAAATAGATGAGTAATGAGATGCCAAGTGATCAAGTGATGCAAGGTCAATTTTACGTATTTGGGGCAGTATCCAAGATTTTTCCAAAAAGGTCTATCCTGTTGATACTGCCACCAGCAGAGAATAAGAATTGCATTTCCCCCACATCTATGCCAACACAGAATGCTTTGGTTCTTTGTTATGTGTGCCATTTTCCCTGGTATGAGGTTATATATCATTATTGTTTTAGTTTGCATTTCTCTCATAAGAGATGTGGAGAGTTTGTCCATTCAATTCTCTGCTCAAAGTCGACTTTAAGGATATTTCTGTTTAATACCATTTTAGATGACGTTGACTTTTTCTTGTTAAGTTTTACAAGTGTTTTATATGTTTTATTAATCCTACACCAAATGAGGGGATGACAGATATTTTCCAGCAGGTTTTTGGTTGTTTTTTTGATACTGGTCATCATTTCATTTACACTCATTGTAATTGATTGAGCCTTTAGATGGGCCACTTAAAAAGGAGAGACTGACAATTACAAGAAGCACAAAATAGGTGAATAGTTTGGCTTCATGTTGATCCCAAAATAATTAGGTTAGGTGAAGGAAATTGAAAGAAAAAGACAGAGACTATGTGTTTGAACTCAGCCAAGAATAGCTGCTTGTTAGCAACACAAAACACTTGTCATGGGAGGACCACAATTACAAACACAAAGTCACCTTCAATGTTGGGTGCACAAATAGCCGAGAGAATCGGTGAGTCCTCAGGTGGAATTGTGATCAGTGTGGGTGGGTCATTGCAGGTCCAGAGTCAGGACACACCTCACGTGTATTCACAGCACAGAGCCTCACTCAGCCTCTGTGCTCACAGCAAGGTCCTAGAATGTGATTCCTCCTTCCACAAGCACAAGGCAAGACAATATTGACTCTGGACTCATTCCCCACTGCCTTCTCCGAGAGACACGAGGGCTCAGCACTTCACCTTCAAACTAAGATGAGCCTCGGGTACTTTATGTGTCTTCTGGAAACCCAAAAGCATTAACTAGTGGAGATGATCATAGTCGTGTTCACGGCAGCACCAAGTACAGTAATCTAGATGCACACACAACACTCAACCGCAGCGTTCATTTCTGTCTATGTATGTCTCCTTGTTCAGCCATGGAGTCCGTTCTTTCTCTCCTTCAGTTCTGTTTGAAGGACAGTGATCATTGTTTCCTTCTTCTCTCCGTGAGATTCTTGAGTCTCCCTGCCAATGTTTTCTTCAGATCATAGAGCACTGAGAGGATTGTTGCTGTCCACACACCCACAGAGCATCGGATGTTCTGATGTTCTTACCTGGCGTCAGTCACATTCATTAAAACAATAGAATTATTTTTCATTATTCCTGGTTCTCTGTGGGAGCTAAGCGTGTAAGTGCCTGGTAGTCTGGGTATGGATTGGGTGAAGGTTCTCACTCTATTCAGCTAGGGCTGTGACTCTAGTAACTTCTGGCAGCCACAAAGCCTGTGGAGTTTTCTCAGTTGGACAGGGAGGGCCAGGTGTAAGTTGACAGGATTAATCTGTAGATTTTGGTACTGACGGGGCCTCATGAGGCCTGTGAAATCCCCTGGGGAATAGTCTTTCAATAATATATTGAAACTATTTAAATTAATCCATAAATTTCAGGAATATAAACTCTCAGTCCAATAGTATCGAATTGAGAGCCCAGAATAAATTCTTAAATCTTTTACGGTGAATCTTTGGGAGAGGATTCCATCCTATGGAGTGAAGCAAGGAAAACCTCTTCAACAAATGGTGTTGGGAAAACAGCACCACATACAAAAATAACAATCACAATCACAATCACAACCATCCTGTTATTCGTCGATTGCCTCGAGCAGGCCCCAGTAACGTCTCTTTGTCCTAGCCCTGAGATTTTTTTTTAAAGTGCTATATTCAAGGCTCTTTCAGAGTTAGGAGAATGAGACCCTTCATTGTTATTGGTATTTGGCATATTGGGTACGCCACGGGGAGTTTGCCAGACTCTGCCCTGCCGTGAGGGCAGGTTACATTTGGTAGCCTGCCAGTTTGTCTAAAGTAGGAATGAGATGATAAGATGTCGCGCTTCTGGGAGCTGGGTTTTATAGTCTCTGAATCTTGGCCGTTGATGGGATTACACGGCGCCAGGGGGCCAGTTGGTGGGTGTAACCCCCGCCTACTGGAATTTGGAGGATCTGGGTGGAGGATGCCCAGCCCCAATCCGAGTAGACTTGGAGATCTCGGCCCCGGAACACGAGTGGCTTTGTCCCTCTGCCGGTACTTTCATGTGTGCGGAGAGTGGTCTCAGCATGGTGGTGGCTGGTTCTGGAGGTCTTTGGCTGTCGGAGCCCTGGTCGGGGCGGGGAGGAAAGCTCAACCCGCTCCCCTCCAAGGGGCCCCGGCGAGGACAGCCAGGCGCAGGGGCAGGAGACTCTGCACTGTTCTCTTCCAGGAGCTGGGTTTTATAGTCTCTGAATCTTGGCCGTTGATGGGATTACATGGTGCCAGGGGGCCAGTTGGTGGGTGTGACCCCCGCCTACTGGAATTTGGAGGATCTGGGTGGAGGATGCCCAGCCTCAATCCGAGTAGACTTGGGAGATCTCTGCCCCGGAACCCGCATGGTTTATAACAATAAAAAGTAGAATTGAATCCATATCTCACTCCAGATACAGAGTTTAATGGAAAGTTGACTTATGGTCCAGCTTTGACAGCAGAATCATTAAAATACTCAGAGGAAAACCTTGGCCGGTGTCTCCATGACACTGATCTTATATAGCTCATTTATAGTTTCACTCAATTGGCAGATACAAGAGAAACTAAAATAAATAAATGGGACAAAATTAATTAAAGATTTTAACCAGCAATGTAAACAATATTAAAATTAAGGTACCATACTGACTGAGAGAAAACGTGTACCCACCGAACATCAGATCCAACTTAATATCTAAAAATTCATAGCACTCACCAAGATCAACATCAGAACAAATCACCCATCAGAAAGTGGTGTGGCAAATAAACAGATATTTTTGTAGGCATATGAAGAGATGTTTATTCAATGCTTACTTTGAGTAAAATGTCAACTTAAAGGTAAATGAACACCATCTCTGCCCAGTGACAATGGCTTATATCAAAAGTACTGGAATCAACCAGTGTTGGGACATTGTCAAAGGAAAGACACTTTCTATGCTTGTGGGAACCTATCTATGGAAAACGCTAAGAGATTTCTCTAAAAAGTAAAAATAGTAGTTCTAAGTTACAAGTGTTTGTATTTTTGGTATCTTTTCCCATGTGTGAAAGCAGTCATTTGAGAAAATATATGTAAACATATGTCAGTTGTAACATTTGGAATAGTAGCCAGGGCATGGGAACAATCCTAGTGCTTAATGAGAGTTCCATGGATAAGAATTTGTGGTGTATATACAAAATGGGATACTGTGTGGACTGGAGCGATAGCACAGCGGTAGGGCATTTGCCTTGCACGCAGCCAACATGGCCGACCCAAGTTCGATTCCTCCACCCCTCTCGGAGAGCCCGGCAAATTACCGAGAGTATCTCGCCCACACGGCAGAGCCTGGCAAGCTCCCCGTGATGTACTCGATATGCCAAACGCAGTAACAACAGTGTAGTTATAAGAAAATACAAAACATCAAAGTTTTTTGCACCATGGATAGAACTAGGGAATATCAGATTAAGTGAAGTTTGTCAGAGGGAGAAATTCAGACAATCTCATTCATCTATGGTACACAGAGAATAGAGAGTCAGGATGGACAGGATCCAATGATAATGGCCCCTGCATCCTAACCACACTCTGAGGGTCCCGAGACGAGTCGGGTGGGGGCTTAGAGCACTGGAAAGAAGAGGCTGAGCACAGGGGCCACAGCAGAGTGGGAAGGTCTGTGGGGATTTGGTACTGGGAGAAGCCCAGGGAGTTTGGGACCTACAGGCATCAATTTTCAGGCTATTGTCATCGTGTTTCCTCAGTAACAATAGTGAAGGTAATGGGGAAAAAATCTCCTTTTGTGAAAGAAGGAGCGATCTTTATATGAAGGAAAACTGACCACACCTGACCTAAAGGAATAGAACAGTCTCTAGAGCACTGTGAGACTATAAGAAGAATAAACAAATTTGTACTAGACAAGGAAATAATAACTAAAATTTTTACACTTGCTTTACTAAATCTGGCTTATATATTATAATAAAAATGAAAATGTTCTCCCCGAAATAGAGAAAAAGAATTGTAAACAAAATGAAGAAGAAATAAAAGAAACCAACCCATATACATCACCTCTCGGGCTGCCAATGGGCAGAGACCTGGAGTCGCGGTAGCACACCGACCCCTTGTGCTGACACGCACCCCTGCAGTTCCCCTGTCTCCCTCAGCGGGTTTGTGTCTGAACTCACAGGGACTTGCCCTCAATGTGTGAATCTTGCACAAAAATACGCACCTGTGTCCTAAATTACTGAGTTGCTCAGTTTTACGTAAACTTGGTTCTTGGAGGTGTCCCTGAAGATGGTGACGTGGGACTGAAGATTTGGGTCATATTCTGTAAACATATCCTGTAACCATATATAACACCAATCCAACCCAGTCACTTTCCTGGTTGCTGGAGAACCCAGATCACACCATAGTCGGTTAGAGAGAATTCAGAGATGGAGCCGGTGAGGGACAGCATCTTCGAGGGTGTCACCAGTCTTGGTCCCAACTCCTGTAGCTGTACCTGGACAGGACATCTGGGGACAGAGACCCACAGTGAGTCACGGACTCAGAGGCCCCATGCCCACCTTGGAGCCTCTGTCCAGGGGATACTCACATGTGGGATCTGCTACCAGAAAGAGGAGGAATCAGTGCTAATGCGCATTCCTGTCCACGAGGTCCATGGTCTCAGAAACCATGTCAGGGGAGAGGGAGCCTATGTTGGGATGAGTGTGAACGTGGTTTGAACCCTGGATCCCAAGTGCATATTTTCTTGGAGGAGCCTCTGTAGAGAAAGGAAGGGACCTGGGGGAGGGTGGTATGTGGACTCACTGGGAGGAGGTGCTGACTGTGACTCAGAGCACTCAGGCCTGTCCCTGGGGCCCTGTCAGAGCCAGGCCTCTTCCTCTAGCACAGGAAACCTGCTGAGGAGCTCTCAGGAAACAGGAATTGCTGAGGGAGAACCGGCGGCTGAGGAGGAGAGCCCTGGTGTCTCAGGTCCCTAATGAGGAAACCCAGCCCCCCACAGCCTCTTGGGCCCTGCCTCTCCATGTCCCTTGGTGGAACAACTGTGTGCGCAAATCCTGGGCCCATCATACTGTGTCATTGTCCCATTGAATTCTCACTTGTCTGGATTCAGTCCACGTCAATCAAATAGGGTTGGGCTTGTGGGGTAACACACACTTGGTAACCGTGTTGTGCACTAACTGTACACTGATCCCATAAACTTTGACACTTTCAAATTCTATTACCTATGTTATAACTAACTTAAAATATTGTTAGAAGTGCCATAAAGTCTGCACATAGATCTTGTTTCCAGCACTGGCTCTGTGCCGCCATTGCCACAGAACAGTGTACTGATCACTCACCCCAATGATTTCTCTTGTCCCAGTAATTCCTTTTTCCCACCCTACCCAGACTCCCACATGCAGCGAGATCATGCATGCAGGTTAGATGGGTCAGAGAGACACTGATTCATTGCTGAGGAGTGATCCACTGTATCAACATATTGAGCTTGTTTCTCCACGCATGGTTGTGCAACTGTAATTTGCTCAATGCTTGCCTGTTATAAAGACACACCGTCTCACTCTGCAGATTTGGAGCGGTAAAGACAAGTTAATAGCATTATGGAAAAACGTAACAGAATAATGTTAGGAAGCAGCTTAAGAAGTATCTCTCACTTCTCAGAGAAATGAAGTCATGGTGCCAAACTCAAATTAGAGATGTGAAAACTCAGATGCTGTTTAAATTTACCACTATAAAGCCAAAGACTATGGAGCCTTTGTCCTCTTTCACTCAGAGACAGTCTCAAAAGGTGAGACAGACTCTGTGGTATGTCCTGGTTACAAGCTAGCCTCAACAGCCTTGACCAAGGAAATAGCCTGGAAAGTTTTTAATTGATTTTTTTAAAATTATGGACCACACTTGGTGATGCTCAGGGCTTATTTCCAACTCTGTTCTTAATAATCACTCTTGTGGGGCTCAGGTTTTTGGGGAAGGGGTGGAAGGGGGTGGCAGTGACAGAAATCATCTCCAGATTGATCAGGCCAAATGCAAAGCAAGGCACTGCCCACTGCACCATCTTTCTGGCCCCAGTTTGGAGTATAAGGTCAAGGCCACTGCTGAGATGTCTGTGCATTTGGTGACCTAGCCCAGAGCCACCTCCCCACCTCCCCAGGCCTCCCCACACGTGGACGGTGGGGGGGGTGAGCGGGGCACAGCCTGATTCAAGAAGACACTCTGTCTCCCAGGCACATCTATATTGCTTTCATCTTTCCCTCTAGTTGTATAAGTTACCAATAGTTGCAGTTGTTTTGATAAGCACAGTAAGAGACAAAGATCCCAACACTTAGTCCTCTGGGCTCTGAGAGCAAACAAGGCTTTTACCAGAAATTCCAGAATAAGTCCTCAGGACAGTTCAGCTAGTCCTTTCCCATGGGGCTCCTGTCTCTTAAGTTGTAACAGCTTGCATCGAGATCATGCATTTATGCTTTCTAGAATGTCCCATTTTGATGCCAGGGTAGCTTTGCCACTTGCCTCGGGTCCATCCCAGTCTCAAAGTGGGACTTCAGTTTGGGGGCATTAGGAAATACAACAACTAACGCCTGAGTCAAGTAATTATAACCAAGTAATTACGCCCAGGAGTAGATATATTTCAGATTCAATCAACTTTCAAATATTAGAAGCATAGCACTAATGGTCTTCCTGTGTTTAACCAAAGAACATTACTCTGTAGTAAACATATAAAAAGGCTATAGGGGAAATAGAAGAGCAGGTACAAATAAACAACACTTCAAATACAAAGCAGTAAAAATACGAAGTGCAGAATTACCAGAAAGTTTTGCCTTATAAGAAATCAAGGCTAACTTGGTGAACTGAGACAGTGAGAGGCAAAATACAAAGGAAAGGTTAAAGATAAACTTTAGCTTAATTAGATATGCTAGCAAGCTTTTCAAGGAGGAGGAAAGGGGCAATTCAAAGAGGAAGCCTAAAACATTTTCGGTTAATATCCAACAAATACTTAGAAGAGTTCCATAGCTTAAGAGCAGGACTGGGATATTCACACAGCAGTGGCCTTAGGGTAATCACACAACCAGCAATCACATTTAAAGTATGGCACAGTGATGAAAATTTCCTACACTATTCTTGTCTGTAGCACAGCCCTGAGAGTTCTATAATCTTGCCTGCTTTAGAATCCTTTTAATTAGTCACAGAATTCTCAGGGGACCACCCCTTTAGGATCATTATTTTTTTTCCTTCTCTTTCATTTTTTAATTTTATTTTTTAATTTATTTATTTATTGAATCACTGTGGGAAAAGTTACAAAGCTTTCAGGTTTAAAAGTCTCGGTCATGCAATTATCAAACACATTACCCTTCACCAGTACTTATTTTTTACCAAGAAGAACCCCAATATACCCCCCTCCCAACCCTCCCAAAGCCTGTGAGGCAGATGAATTCTAGTTAACACTCTATCTACTTTGTTTAGATTCATTGTTTCGACAAAAGATGCACCATTATTATGTAGAGTTTACACCCCCAAATCAGACCTGTTGAAAAGACATTGTGAAATAATTTGTTTCTATAGCTGGTTACAAGAATCAAATGATGACGCGCTGCTGCTATTGTGGCCGCGCGATTTTGGATTTCTGATATTTTACTTATTCATCCTGGAAGTATTTCTGCCGAGAGTCAAATAATTATGAGATTGGTTTCTGTGGCTCTAGAGCCATGACCGTGCTGAAGAGCCGCTTGTGGGGGGCAACTCGTGGCCTCTGTAGGGGTGAAGTACGAGCCCGGAATCCCCCCCTTCCCATGAGGTTTCAGTCACCCTGTCACGACCGGCTCATACCTGGCTTTCCAAAAAGCTCCGAGGCGGCCACCATCTTGCTGTTCAGAGGAAAAAAGGCAGAAGGGAGCAACATGCTTTTCCCTCTGGGCAGTCATGGTGCCATGGATTAACACATAGTCCATTTACTTTACTGCCGCAAGCTGCCGGGTTCTGCATTAAGTCCTTGTTAGGCTCATTATTAAGGGGAAAGTGTCCCACTGGATGCCTGGAGGTGTTGCAGTTCTCCCTGGAATAGCCCCTTGGCCACTAGAAGACATTGGGACTGTAGAGAGTTCCCCAGGCCCCAATTTGTGACTTTCTAAGAATAACATATATTAATTTGCCTTGATTTGCTGGTTCCCAATGGCTCGAGACTTGGGAAAGAGACATTTTTGGTGTCAGCAATACTTCAACCTTGCCTCTGCCTCAGGGCATCAAGGTCAGTGCTCCAGCAGCTTCTTCCAGTCATAACAATCCCCTGCTTCTCTCTGCCACCTGATCCTTTGTGCACACAGGCATCCTCCCTCAGCTTCTATGGACCATTGCTCTCCTAATAAACTGTCATATGATGAAGCGTTTATTTCCCATGTGGGTGCCTATGTCTCAGACACACTGCACTCATAAACCTTTGAGAATCTACTGGATGGACCAGCTCCTTGTTCCCAGAGTTACAAGATAATTACTTACAGGGAGACATCGGGTCCAAGCATTTGATCAATGGCCTCTGCAAGGTGGATATTCCCCAGTCCCACAGAGATGCTCCTCACTTCATGCTGAAACCTGATCAGGGAAGACAGGGCATGGATCGATGGTACGAACTATCTGGGATTTTTGAACTCAACACCTTTGAGGGGAGAGAATTTTCCTGAGAAAATAGGAAGGGCAGAAAACATATCCCCAGTGTCAGCCAAAGCATTTTCTTCTTGTCATTTAGAATATGACCTGAGGGTCCCCTGAAGAGATGTTGAACACAGGAGCCTGTGTAGCCTTGGGCCTCCCCAGAATAAGAAACTGAAAGTCTCCTTCAGGCACTGAGTGAGGTGAACTGAGGTTCCTGTCTCTCCATGGACACAGGTGGATGGTTAGACCTGGGTCAGGGCTAGGAGACCCCATCACACTTCTGCTCACAAAGGAACAATTCCTGTCCCAGTGCCCTGTCTGTGTGCAGCTGCGACAACCATTCTGTGCCCCTGGCACTTGGTGCGGGGCCTGGGAAGTTGACACAGGTTCAAGTCTTGAGTTCAGGGAATAGGATGTTATGAGGATTCAGAGATTGAAGTCAGGGTTAAAGCCACTTCCCCCAAAATACTCAACTGTGAGGATCAGTTCTCCCATTGAGCTGGTCTTAGCCCTTGTTGCTACCTTGCTGTGGATACTTTAAGCCCCATATTATGAGACAGATCATTCTGTATCTTTCCATTTCCTGGACTGATTCACTCAGCATGATATCCTCTAGTTTTTTCAATATTGCAGAAAGTTGAGTGATTTTCAACTCAGTAATAATGGTAAGGCCCACAGAGGGTAGACAGGATTAGGACTCTTTCCAGGTGTTCCTCGTGAATGTGAAAGTTATCAGTGAAATGTCTTCAGGGCAATGCCCCGGACTTTCTGGATTCAGCTGGAAGTGTGTAGCACTTGGGAAGTGTTTGGTGATTAGAGAACGCAGCATTCCCAGGTGTCACTTGGAGTTGTTAATACACACAGAGGACAGTGGGGAGACTGAGAACAGTCTGATATTCCAGAACTGTAGGTAGCAGTTCAGTCACCAAGGAGCCCCATCTAGGTGGCTGCTCTGTTCAGGGTCAGGAAGGGTTTATTGAGAACAATCCTTGAGGTCTGACTTTTGAACTGCCCTGTCCCAGGAATCTGTCTGCGTCTTTCTGCTCTACCCACATTGACAATCCAGGCCGGCCTTCAGGTCGATCCCCTGCTTCTGTGCTCTACATTTATCTCAGTTGGAACTTTACCCAATATTGTGCTTATTGTGCCTTCAGGAATTAGAGGGTCTTCTTGATTCATGTATATTCAATGTTCTCCAAAGGAGGGAATGAAAGTACTTTCACATCAGATACGGGCATTTTCCCTGTCATTGGAACAGTTTTGCTCACTTTTTGTAAATTGACAATTTTGATAAATCTGGTAACATCATTGAAAGTGCAGGTATGAATCTTGGATAGTGCATAAGAAGTAAAGGTCATAGTCCAATTATGGAAGCACATATATTCCCAGTAACACTGTGCTCTACATGACTGATAGCCGATCACAGAGTCATGCTGTCTGAGCCTTCCCCGTGGACATGAATAGGAGATATATATGTATATGTATATTTATATACAGTATATATATGTTTACATATGTATATGTATATGTGTATGTACTTCCACGTGGTTCTCCCAATACCATCTGGGGCGCTTTACTACACAATCGTGGAAGAAAATATTAATAACACCAGGTGTTCTAGAGAGAAGCCATATTTCTCTGGTGAAGGACAGAGAGAAATACTGAGCCTTTCCCTCAGATGAAGCCTGACCCTGTGAGACCCATTCTGTGTCTCAGAATCTGACTCTCTGAGGAAGAAGTCAGGAGGATCAGCGCCCCTGTCATCTCCTCACCTGGCACACCTGCCTCCCCTTCAGTTTTCTGACATATTCAGGATTTGGTTGTCACACTGTGTCTCTCGCACAGTAATACACGGCCGTGTCCTCAGTGCTCAGCCTGCTCAGTTACATGTAGGCTGTGTCCTTGGACTTGTCTGCAGTGAGTGTAACTCTTCACTGGAACTTCTGTGCATAGCTTGTATAATCATTGTAAGGGTATATGTATCCCATCCACTCTAGCCCTTGTCCTGGGGCCCGCCGCACGCAGCTTATATAGTAGCTGGTGAAAGTGTATCCGGACGCCTTGCAGGAGATTTTCACTGATGTCCCATGTTTTCCCACCTCAGCCCCTGACTGCACCAGCTGTACCTGGGAGTTCACACCTGTCGACAGCAGACAGGAGTGGGTGGACTCCATTTGACTGGCCCCATTCCCTCAGCCCAAGGCATGGGGACACTTACCTGCAGTCACTGCCACCAGGAAGAGAATTCCCCAGGTCCAGTCCATGCTGAGGACCGTGCACTCAAGGGCTTCTGAAGGTGTGGGTGTGCCTGTTGTGTGATGTTGTCAGGACACAGACACATCTATATTTAACTCCATGTCCCTTGTGTATTTTGCATATTCATGAGGATGGAGAATTCATAGCTGAAGACCTGGTCCAACCTGAGAAAAAACTGGTAGAAGCCACCGGGCCCATCCTCCAGGGGAGTGAAGAGGTCCACGTTCTGATCCTTTTTTGAGGAGATGAGACCCTGCTTTTTCCCAAGACTCTGTGCACACAGAGATGCCCCTCCCGCGGGCCAAGCCCTTTCAGGACCTTCCCCTTAGGGTCCTCCACATCTGTATGGCCTGGACACATCTGGGTACAGCTGGCCTTTGAGATTATATCTTGGATCCTGTAACTCCCCATGGGATGCCACAATGACACTACAAACCATTGTATTCCTCTAGTGGTTTCCATTGTAGATATTAAGACGTCCAGAAACGCTCCCTGTGTCCCTGTATGCAGGTTTTATTGCCTTATCAATAAGATAAATGTTCTTCCAAAATGATAAGTGTGCACAATTTAACCTTCTGTGTCATATATGTATTTTCATTTTGGTTTTCTTGAGAAAGAAAAATTTTGATTAATGAAGAAGGAAATCCATTCTGAGGAGATTTCTACCTATCTGTACCTATTACTCCCATCTCTGTGCCCTTTCTAGCCTGCAACTCAGTGCTCTTGGAATCTGGCGCCCTCTGCAGCCTGGTTCCCCCCCCCCCCCCCCCCCAGAGAGAGCCTCTGGGCTCTCAGGGGATTGATTTATTTATTTAGTTTAGAGTGTCTGAATGCTTCATTCATCCCTTGGTTTCAGACCCATACAATGCACTCATATGACATTGTAGACTTAGCACTGAGACAGAACACTTCACATCTGCCAGGAAGGAGAGGTGTTGTGGGAATACCAAAGCACTACATCATAGATAGTAAATGTTGAAGCAAAAATACCTTCTGAATATACACTGTACATATGTAAACAACATTCAGAATAAAAATCAACACAGGTCTAAAAAGTGTTTTCTAGGAAATCAGAGTCGTCTTTATTTTCAATCATACATATTGAAGATTTTTTTTGTTAAGAAAAAAGAAAGAAGCCTATTTCTACATTTGCTCATGTGCTTAAATATATTGGAAAAATTATTACATTCATTTGCTAGAGGCTTGTCTTCTTAGTTGGCTGACTGTGACAAATAAGGAATCAGAACTTTTTCAATACCTACTTTTCATTTAATACTAAGTCATATGTAATTATTAACATTTATCAGTTCATATTAGTAAATAGATTAAGAGAAGCAGTGAATTTCAAATTTGTGGTAAACTAGTTGATAATTTGATTCTAATAAGGCCAGTGGTATAGTGATTACTAGAAAATCAGGTCAAGCTAGTGGTAAACCCCCTGACTTAGCCAACTGAATCCACGTTTGAAATCAGATCATTTCAACTTCTGAATTACTGTGCACATCTAGATTTTCCTCAATCAGATAGTGTGCTAGGAGCATTGAATCCCTGTAATGGAATGAAAGACTGGTCAGGTTTTGAGATGGACAGAGACTATGCAAAGAAATTAGAGAGTCTAAAGGATGGCGTTCCAGCATTGCCTTGATGAATGAGGAACTAAAGCGACAACCCATTAATTAGTCAACCACATTCGGAGTCAAACGCGGACATTCGAAGAAATGATCAAAACACAAAGCACTTCCCGTCGTGACTGATGCAAACCTGGCCCACAGTGGAAATCTCAAGGCTTCGGCCAGTATTCTGGACCAGCTGCCTGTCGGCTCCACACCGCAGAACTTGGTCGTGACTGTCCGTTGCTTTGCGAAGCTTCCAGCCTGGGAGAAGTGTGTTTCCAGGTGACTCCTAGTGGCAGGGCTGGGTGTATGCAGCAGGGCGTCCAGTCTCAGGGCAGGGGGTCTGAATGAGGTCTTGCACGCAGTTAGAGTGTGACCTGCCACCCGCAGCCCGGCCCTGTGCCCCAGGTCTCCGCGGGGACGGAGGGCACCTGGTCAGCATGGCGCAGGGAACTGCAGAGGAACTTTCTGTCACCGGTGAAGAGGGCGTCGGTCACTGACTAGGCTTGCAGCCTCCTGTCCTGCACGTCGGTCCCTTCGGAACCACCATTCGGCCCAGTGCCCTCTTCTAGCCTGACCTGCTGCCCAGCTCCAGGGGTCACATTCGGTCTCCCTGCGGTGCGTCTGTGCTCCCCTTCAGGGGCATCAGCGTCTTGGCTCCCCTAATGCAGGCCTGAGTCTTGAGACTCACTCAGAAGCCTTGCTCAGGACTCAGGTCCTTCATGGGCCTTATGATTTGGGTTTGAGCCACACCCAGCAGGGTAAGGGCTTAGTCCTGGCTCTGTGCTCCAGGGATCGCTCAGGTAGATGCATCCCAGTGATACACAAAAGTATTATTTAAAGAAATTTACTTACAGAAATGCAAGGGGAGAGAAAGAGAGAGCTGTGTTCAGGAGAGCACATGGGCTTCTCCAAATGGGAGATTGAGTTCTGATCCGATCAGACATGTTAGAATCTGGAAAACACCTTCCCACCCAGTACATGTGAGAACCTGAACAAGTGAAACTCAGAGATTCACTTTCTGTCTCTCTGTGAGTACTAGGAAAAGAGAGATGGAGAGAGAAGTAAAATAGCATTATCTAAAGAAATTTACTTAGAGACACAAGGAGAGAGAGGGAGAGAAAGAGATGGAGAGACAGAGATAGAGATAGTGAGAGAGAGAAATGGCACACGATTATGACAGGAAGGACAGTCCAAACCAAGTATCTGGTCATCATCACATTAGTCATCCTTCTCATTTATTGATCCCTAGGATTGTATATGGGTTCTCTCCCTCTCCCTCCCTCTTTCTCTCCCTCTCTCTGTCCCTCTCTCTCCTCTCTCTGTCCTCTCTCTCCCTCTCTCTGTCTTCTCTGTCCCTCTCTCTGTCAATCTCTCTCCCTCTCTCTCCCTCTCTCTCGCTCTCTTTTCCTCTCTCTCCCTCTTTCTCTCCCTCTCTCTCCCTCACTCTGTCTCCCTCTCCCTCCCTCCCTCTCTCTTCCTATCTCTCTCACCCTCTCCTTTTCTCTCTCCCTCTCTCCCTTTCTCTCGGTCTCTCTCTCTCTCTTTCCTTCTCTCCCTCTCTCTCCCTCTCTAGCTTCCTATCTCTCCCTCTCTCCCTCTCTCCTCTCTGTCTCCCTCTCCCTCTCTCTCCCTCCTTTTCTTTTCTCTCTGGCACGCAGGAGGGGCCAGGCCGACCCCGCGGAGGCCCCTCGGGGCTGTGTCCGGTTGTGGGTAGCTTGGCCTTGGGGAAGGTCGAGGGGGAGCGGGAGAGCCTGAGGGTCTCCAGGGACGGGCTGGACCCTCGGGGTCGCCTCCCTGGCTCTCCCTGGGGCTCACGTTGAGGCTGGAACATCCCCCCTTGCTCAGGAGGCCACAGGTCAGCATGTCCCTGTCCCCGCATCCGCCTATGACAGATCCAGCTGCTCCCCAGGCGCCCACGGCCAAGCGACATGACTCCCCCGAGTGTCTCTCAGGGACTCCGGCAGGGCTCATACCTGGGTGTGACTCAGTTTCCCTCCCCATGCTTCCGACACCACATGGCCTGTGTACACAGAATTCTGACTCTCCGAGTTTCCTCTTAGTTTGGGGTCATGCGGCAGGGCTCAGGTGACTCTGGGCTCTGCCCTCAGGAGTCTCCTGGGGCCTCAGGGACCGGACTGGGCGCTAGGTGTCAATCCGGGTGGGCTGCGTGTAGGCGAGGGCCAACACACCGTCCCCTTCCAACACTAGGTGACTCTGACAGGGATACTGAGGTTCCCTGGTATAAGGGCTCTCACTCGCGGTGGCCTCTGTCCCTGGGTCTTTCCAGGCACCTGCGAGCCAAGGACGTGAATCCTCACAGACTGACCTGCCTGCCTCTCTCTGTGTCCACCTCAGTCAGCAGTTTCCAGGGAGCTCATACCTCAGGAAGAACAGCAGAGTGGATGGAGATGACAGGGAGGGGACCTTTATTAGAGCCACAGCAACAGAGCAATGGG